GGACCACTAGTGACACTTATTGAGACCAGAAAACCACTATTAAAACTGAGGCCAGACGGACCACTGGTACCACTTAGTGAGACCAGGACTACTAGTACCACTTAGTGAGACCAGGAGGACCACTAGTACCACATAGTATGATCAAGGTGGACCACTAGTACCACTTTGTGAGACCGAGGTGGACCACAAGTACCACTTAGTGAGACCAAGGTGGACCACTAGTACCACTTACTGAGACCAGGATGACCACTTGTACCAATAGTGAGGCATTAGGACCACTAGTACCACTTAGAGAGACCAAGGTGGACCACTAGTACCAATTAGTGAGGCCAGGTGGAACACTAGTACCACTTAGTGAGGCCAGGAACACTAGTACAACTTAGTGAGGCCAGGAGGATCACTAGTACCACTTAGTGAGTTCAGTGGACCACTAGCACCATTTATTGAGGCCAGGTGGACCACTAGTGACAATTAGTGAGACCAGGCGGACCACTAGTACCACTTACTGAGGCCAAGAGGATCACTAATACCACCTGGTGAGAACAGGAGGACCACTAGTACCAATTAGTAAGACCAAGATTGACCACTATTACCACTTAGTGAGTCCTGGATCACTAGTACCACTTAGTGAGACCAGGCAGACTACTAGTACCACTTAGTGAGACCAAACGGATAACTAGTACCACTTAGTGACGCCAAGAGGACCACTGATACCACTTAGTGAGACCAGGAGGACTGCTAGTACCAATTAGTAAGACCAAGGTGGCCCATTAGTACCACTTAGTGAGGCCAGGTGGACCACTAGCACCACTTAGGCGAGGACCACTAGTACCACTTAGTGAGGCAAGGACCAATAGTCCCATTTAGCGAGGCAAGGTGGACCACTAGTACCACTTAGTGAGGCCAGGTGGACTACCACTTAGTGAGGCCAGGACCACTAGTACCACTTAGTGAGGCAAGGACCAATAGTCCCATTTAGCGAGGCAAGGTGGACCACTAGTACCACTTAGTGAGGCCAGGTGGACTACCACTTAGTGAGGCCAGGACCACTAGTACCACTTAGTGAGGCCAGAACCACTAGGCCCACTTAGTGAGGCCAGGTGGATCACTAGTACCACTTAGTGAGACAATGAGGACTAGTACCACTTAGTGAGACCAGGAGGACCACTAGTACCACTTAGTGAGACCAGGAGGACCACTAGTACCACTTAGTGAGACCAGGAGGACCACTAGTACCACTTAGTGAGACCAGGAGGACCACTAGTACTACTTAGTGAGACCATTCAGGCCACTAATACCACTTAGTGAGGCCAGAAGGACCACTAGTACCAGTTAGCGAGGCTAGGCGGACCACTAGTACCGAGCAGATATCAACCACCAGCACATATCATCCAACTACCAGCAGATGTCAACTAACTACCAGCAGATGTCAAACAACTACCAGCAGATATCAACCAACTACCAGCAGATATCAACCAACTACCAGCAGATATCAACCAACTACCAGAAGATGTCAACCAACTACCAGCAGATGTCAACCAACTACCAGCAGATGTCAACCAACTACCAGCAGATATCAACCAACTACCAGCAGATATCAATCAACTACCAGCAGATATCATCTAACTACCAGCAGATGTCAACCAACTACCAGCATGATTCAACCACTACCAGCAATATCAACCAACTACCAGCAGATATCAACCAATCTACCAGCAGATATCAACCATCTACCAGCAGATATCAATCAACTACCAGCAGATATCATCTAACTACCAGCAGATGTCAACCAACTACCAGCAGATATCAACCATCTACCAGCAGATGTCAACCAACTACCAGCAGATATCAACCAACTGCCAGCAGATATCAACCATCTACCAGCAGATATCAACCAACTACCAACAAATGCCAACCAACTACCATAGATATCAACCATTTACCAGCAGATATCAATCATCTACCAGCAGATATCGAAGAACTACCAGCAGATATCAACTACAGGCAGATATCAACTAAAGGCAGATATCAACCAACTAACAGCAGATATCAAGCAACTACCAGCAAATATCAACTACTAGCAGGTATCTACTACCAGCAGATATCAGCTTCCAGCAGATATCAGCTACCAGCTGAACCCTCATTTATCAATTACCAGCGGTATCAACTACCAGCAGATATCATCCAACTACCAGCAGATATCAACTCTAGCAGATATCAACCAACTAACAGCAGATATCAACCAACTAACAGCAGATATCAACTACCCGCAGATATCAATTACCAGCAGAGACAACTACTAGCTGATATCAACCAACTACCAGGAGATATTAACCAACTACCAACAGGTATCAACCAATTACCAGCAGATATCAACTACCAGCTGATATCAACCAATTACCAGCTGATATCAACCAACTACCAGCTGATATAACAAACTACCAGCAGGTATCAACTATTTACCAGCTGATATCAACTACCAGGAGATATCAACTGCAAGCAGATATCAACTACCAGCAGATATCAACCAACTAGCAGGAGACATCAACCAACAGTAGATATCAACTTCCAGCAGGTATCAGCTATCAGCAGGTATCAACTATCACCAGATATCAATTGCCAGAAGATATCAACTACCAACAGATATCAACCAACTACCAGCAGATTTCAACCAACTACCAGCAGATATCAACCAACTACAATCAGATATCAACCAACTACCAGAAGATATCAACCAACTACAATCAGATATCAACCAACTACCAGAAGATATCAATTACCAGCAGATACCAATCAACTACCAGCAGATATCATCCAACTACCAGCAGATATCAACTACCAGCAGATATCAGCTACCAGCAGAAATCAATAAACTACCAGCAGATATCACCCAACTATCAGCACATATCAGCTACCAGCAGATATCATCTACCAGCAGATATTCATCCAACTACCTGCATATATCAACTACCAGCAGATATCAGCTACCAGCAGATATCACTCAACAATCAGCAGATATCAACTAACTACCAGCAGATATGAACTAACTATCAGCAGATATCAACCAACTACCAGCAGATATCATTCAGCTACCAGCAGGTATCAACTACCAGCAGATATCAGCTACCAGCAGATATTAACTACCAGCAGATATCAACTACCAGCAGATAACTACCAGCAGATATCAACTACCAGCAGATATTAACTAGAGGCAGGTATCAACTACCAGTAGATATCAACCAATTACCAGCAGATATCAACCAACTACTAGGAGATATCAACTACCAGGAGATATAAACTGCCAGAAGATATCAACTAACTACCAGCAGATATCAACCAACTACCAGCAGATATCAATCAACTACCAGCAGATATCAATCAACTACCAGCAGATATCAATCAACTACCAAAGATATCAACCAACTACCAGCAAATATCAATCAACTACCAGATAATATCAACCAACTACCAGCAGATATCAATCAACTACCAGCAGATATCAATCAACTACCAGCAGATATCAATCAACTACCAGCAGATATCAATCAACTACCAGCAGATATCAATCAACTACCAGCAGGTATCAATCAACTACCAGCAGATATCAATCAACTACCAGCAGATATCAACCAGGTACAAGTAGATATCAACTAACTACCAGCAGACATCAACCAAGTACCAGCAGATATGAATCAACTACTAGCAGACATCAACCAAGTACCAGCAGATATGAATCTACTACCAGCAGATATCAATCAACTACAGCAGACATCAACCAAGCACCAGCATATATGAATCTACTACCAGTAGATATCAACCAAGTACCAGCAGATATGAATCTACTACCAGCAGACATCAACCAAGTACCAGCAGATATCAATCAACTACCAGCAGATATCAACCAAGTACTAGCAGATATGAATCTACTACCAGTAATATCAACCAAGTACCAGCAGATATCAATCAACTACCAGCAGACATCAACCAAGCACCAGCATATATGAATCTACTACCAGTAGATATCAACCAAGTACCAGCAGATATGAATCTACTACCAGCAGACATCAACCAAGTACCAGCAGATATGAATCTACTAAAAGCAGACATCACCGAAGTACCAGCAGATATCAATCAACTACCAGCAGACATCAACCACGTACCAGCAGATATGAATCTACTACCAGTAGATATCAACTACCAGCAGATAGCAACCTGCAGAGAGCAGAGGTGGGCAAGGAAGGCAGCAGATCTTCAAGGCGGGGGAGGGCGGTTGAGGGCAGAAGACGGGGGCAGGGTGGGACTGGAAGGGGTGTTCGGGAGAGGGTGGGCGTGGCGGACAGATAAACATACACATCTCTGAGTCAGATGTTGCCATGACAACCATCACGCGTTGCCATGGTGACCACAGCCAGCATCCCTCGTTGCCAGACGCTCTCAAGACATGAAGAGTACTTACTCACTGATGACCCAAGATGATAATGATAATGAGGATGGTAATTATGATGAGGAAGATGGTGATGATAGTAATGATGGTGATGGTGATCATGACAGTGGTGATAATGATGTGATGATGGTGGTGTGGTGATGATGATGAATGATGATGATCGTGATTTAGAGGAAGATAAAGATGAAGGTGAAGATGAAAGTGAAGACGAATGTGAAGGTGAAAGTGAAGATGGTGAAGATGAAGGTGAAGATGAAGTGGAAGATGAAGACGAAGATGAAGGTGAAGGTGAAGATGAAAGTGAAGATGAAGGTGAAGATGAAAGTGAAATGAAGGTGAAAGATGAAAGTGAAGATGAAGTGAAGATGAAGTGAAAGGATGAAGGATGAGAAGTGAAGATGAAGGTGAAGATGAAGGTGAAGATGAAAGTGAAGATGAAGTGGTGAGGAAGATGAAGTGATGAAGATGAAAGATGAAGGTGAAGATGAAGAGTTAAGATGAAAGTGAATGGTGAAGAGTGAAAGTGAAGATGAAAGGTGAAGATGAAAAGTGAAGTATGGTGATAAAAGATGAAGGTGAAGATGAAGTGAAGATGAAGGTGAAGATGAAAGGTGAAGATGAAAGTGAAGTGAAGGTGAGTGAAAGTGAAAGGTGAAGAGTGAAGATGAAAGTGAGATGAAGTGAAATGAAGTGGAAGATGAAGTAAAGATGAAGGTGAAGATGAAAGTGAAGATGAAGTGAAGATGAAAGTAAGATGAAGGTGAAGATGAAAGTGAAAGATGAAGGTGAAGATGAAAGTGAAGATGGGTGAAGATGAAGGTGAAGATGAAAGTGAAGATGAAGGTGAAGATGAAGGTGAAGATGAAGGTGAAGATGAAGGTGAAGATGAAGGTGAAGATGAAGTGAAGATGAAGGTGAAGATGAAAGTGAAGATGAAGTGAAGATGAAGGTGAAGATGAAAGTGAAGATGAAGGTGAAGATGAAGGTGAAGATGAAAGTGAAGATGAAGTGAGATGAAGGGAAAATGAAGGTGAAGATGAAGGTGAAGATGAAGGTGAAGATGAAGGTGAAGATGAAAGGGAAGATGAAGGTGAAGATGAAAGTTAAGATGAAGATAAAGATAAAGGAGAAAACACTGCCGAAGGCCTACTGGCCCATACTTGGCAAGTTCTTCTCAAATACATGAACACACTAAGAAAAAATATTGGCCAACCCTTTTTAACTCGGTGTCCCACCCAGCCCCTCACTTAGTGTCCCACTCCAGCCCCTCTCACTTATGTGGTCCCAACTCCAGCGCTACTTATGTTACCACTCCAAGCCCCTCCACTAATAGTGTACCCACTGCCAGCCCCTCTCCAACTTATGTGTCCCATCCAGCCCCTCTCAAAGTCCCACCAGCCCCTCTCATATGTGTCCCACTCCAGCCCCTCTCACTTATGTGTCCCACTCCAGCCCCTCTCACTTATGTGTCCCACTCCAGCCCCTCTCACTTATGTGTCCCACTCCAGCCCCTCTCACTTATGTGTCCCATCCACCCTCTCCTTAGTGTCCCACTCCAGCCCTCCATTATGTGTCCCACTCCAGCCCCTCTCACTTATGTGTCCCACTCCAGCCCCTCTCACTTATGTGTCCCACTCCAGCCCCTCTCACTTATGTGTCCCACTCCAGCCCCTCTCACTTATGTGTCCCACTCCAGCCCCTCTCACTTATGTGTCCACTCCAGCCCCTCTCACTTATGTGTCCCACTCCAAGCCCCTCTCACTTGGTGTCCCACTCCAGCCCTCTCACTATGTGTCCCTTCCAGCCCTCTCCATGTTCCCACTCCAGCCCTCTCACTATGTCTCCACTCCACCCCTCTCACTATGTGCATCCAACCTCCATGTCCCACTCCAGCCCTCTCACTGTGTCCCACTCCAGCCCCTCTCACTTGTGTCCCACTCCAGCCCCTCTCACTTACGTGTCCCACTCCAGCCCCTCTCACTTACGTGTCCCACTCCAGCCCCTCTCACTTGTGTCCCACTCCAGCCCCTCTCACTTATGTGTCCAACTCCAGCCCCTCTCACTTATGTGTCCCACTCCAACCCCTCTCACTCATGTGTCCCTTTCCAGCCACTCTCATGTGTCCCACTCCAGCCCTTCTCACTCATGTACAAATCCCACTCCAACCCCTCTCACTCAGTGCAAGTCCCACTCCAACCCCTCTCATGTACAAGTCCCACTCCAGCCCCTTCTCACTCATGTACAAGTCCCACTCCAACCTTCTCACCCATGAGCAAATCCCACTTCAGCCCCTCTCACTCATGTACAAGTCCCACTCCAGCCCCTCTCACGTGCATGACCCACTAAAGCCCTTCACACTCATGTACAAGTCCCACTCCACCCCTCTCACTCATGTACAAGTCTCACTCCGGCCTGCAAAGAGTACGTAACCTTTATTCTGTGCATGTACACACCCTCATTTACAGGCTATCTCCCCCAACCAGCGAACCAGGTTGCTAAGAGTTGATGATGGGGCCCCGTCGTTCAACTAGTGACCAGGTTCTCCCCAATAAGATGGTTTTGGCAATCGCAGAGGTATGGGGGTTAAACTCCCCTTCTGCCCTTGTTTTTCCCATTCAGAGCTGGTTAAAGCACGGTCTGCTATCTTGTGGCTTCTATTTCTGCCTTCCCTTACCGGGGGAGTGCATATACTTATCACTGACATAGGTCAAATTGCTTTTCTAAATTGGTGAAGGATAATATAAGTCTAAACTTTCTCTGCTGTGTTTTTTTGCTCCCTTAAACCCGAGAAAAAGGCCCCTTTTGGAAACCCCGGGGTTTAATAGGTAGTGTCGAGAGCTGGAGCTGGTTAGAGAAACGGTTGAGCTTAGGGTAAGTCGTAGCAGGAACATTGTGCAGTTTTCTGTCGGGCATTGCATTACTTTGCCTAGTTTTACAAATTTTGGGTCATTACTTTTTATGGCACCTTGCTCTGTGTCGTTAAACAGCCCCCTACTAGCTTGTTCGGTGTGCTCGTTCGCTAGGGTAAATTTCTAAAAACAGTGTACCGTCTGGCATTGCTTTAAAAAATTTGGGGTTGCATTTTGTTTAGCCTGTTCGGTTTTAGAATTTTTGCAAGTCGGCTCCCCTTATGCGTTTTTGAGGTCTGTCATGCTAATGTTCTGCAAATTACCCGTTTATGGGGTATTCTGCAATCGCCCCGTCTAGCGATAACTTTATGCCCCCTAGACACAGATATTGGTGTCGGCAATACTTTGCATAACCTACCTAAATTGTCCCTACAGCGTTTTTTGGGAAAATTGCTCTTTTTGGGCATTAAATACAAACCACTCTCACAGCTCCGAAACGCGTTCACGATTGCTGAAAATTTATAGAAGAAGAGTTGTCACATCAGACTTCCCTCTGGGGTAGGGAAAAAAACTACTATGTTCTCGCAGGGGAAGATGATACACCTACGGAGCAAAATGGTCGTATATGCGCGGGGTTTGTCTAAAGGGGAAAATCAGCGTCGTTGGCATTTACGGCAAAAATCAATCTGAGCAAACTGGGAAAACAGAGGCTTGAAGGGAAGAATTTGATAGGGAAAAAAAAAAAGGAGGCAGTTTTCGCATTCTGTAAATTTTTTTTAGTTTAAAAAAGCAGTCAGTTTGCCCCCCGCTTAAAGAGGCCGAACCAAAACAATTTTTCAAAAGCTTCGAAAAAAGGCTCGACCCTTGAGGTGGCCGGAAACAGCATTGGGCATCGTTGGTTCATACAGCATTTTTGGATAGGCACGGGAATTTATGTCAGCTTTTAAATGAGTGTTTTTTCTGTTACAAGTGTAAAGACCCCCAGTGTTGGGACATATACATGTATCCCAGCCAAACAAAAAAAAATTTTAAGCTGGGCAGACGACAGTTTGGTCAACCCCTATGGACTTTGTGAGACAGCAAACCAAAGCTTTTACCCGGTAAAAGCAAGTGGGTCTCTACCTTTGAGGAGCGGGAAAAGTTATTTGATTGAAACCCGCTGGAGTCTGGGGGGACCAGAGGTTCGAGTCTTTCTGCATGATCGGACTTAACCAAAGCATTGGGGCACCCAGGTTGGCTGATCCTTCAAAAACTAACCGCTCCTTGTCCGGCGGTCCCGTCTCTTTTTTCAACAGCCGGCATGAGAGAGATCGTAAAACCTTGGAAATGAATGCCAGCCGGGGGAAAACGTCTACGACCAACTAAGTACCTGGTGAGCCCGCTTCTAAACTTATGGTCCCCCCTGCGGAAGGCAAACTATCATGGTGCATCTCGACAACATTTTCCAGAGAGACACAGCCAAAACGACAATTTGCAACGTCGCAGGGATTAAGGGCAACCCTGTCTTTCTGTTTCCCTGTAAAAAAGTAGGTATATCCATCCCAACTCCCCTCCACAAACCCCCAAACCCCTTTGGGGAAAATCTCTAAATCCTTAAACTGCCCCCTAGAAAAGTAGAAAAAGGTGTGGCCCCTTATTTTTGCAAGAGTCTTATTTCCCTCGGGAAAAACTCAGAAAAAACTGAAGTAAAGACCTTTAGAATATGGACATTTTGCTCACTTGAAAAGGAAAAAATTTTTTTCCCTTTCAAAAGAAACTTCCTTAAATTTTCCTCTGTTTTATTAAAAGCATTTGGGGAGCTTATATTCTGTCCCTTTGCAAAAAAATTTATGACAGCGCAAATTTCACTGGGTACTTGACGTAGGTGCCAAAAAGGGGATTCCCCATAAAAGTCCCAAGTTTTACGAGAAATAACATTTTAGTTAAGTTGTCCTGAACTATAATGAGAATTTCTCTCCGGTTTGGCCAAACTGGGGGCAACACCCCAAGGGTTGTTGGAGGAATGTTGACCTTCCTTACGACTCCGATTCGGAATAGCCACATTGTTTTATGGGCACAGGGGCCGGAGCCCGTAAATAAAGTGAACAGCCCAAAAACCCTTCCTATTCCCGGGTTGCAGGATTGCAGAGCTTTTTTTCCATGCCCAGGACTGTCCTTCCGGGAGGAAAAAAGAAAGGACCCTTCTTTAAAATTCGCTTTTCGGGGCAGCCATGGGTAATCCCCCTTTGGGTCATCCGTAAATATGAATTTTTAAAAACGTTTAATTTGTCTGCCTGAGAGGTAAGGAGATAGGGGGCCCGGCAATTGTATGACAGGTTGGGTTCCAAGTTTAACCCAAAAAAAAAAATATAGCATAATATTTCATTGGGAGGTCCTTAGGAATTACTAAAACCTTTATAGAATCGCAAAAAAATTTTTTGGCCAAAATTAAAGAAAGATGTGAAGTATTTAGGTTTGCTGAATGCAGCAAGTAGGGAAACCTGGACATTCCATTTAAAACCCGCACCCCTCAACCCATACCTGCTGATAGAACCTTTTGCAGATTTAATTATGAAATTTTGTAGCCCCCCCACCTAGGGCAATCTAGAAATCAATTTTATTTACGATTAGGTTAAGTAAAGAATCCTTTAACAATTCCGATGCGAAATATTAAAACTAAAGCTATTCTCAAAACTTTAACAAAAACATTTCTTGTTTTGGCATTCCTAAAATATTCAAAACGATCAAGGTTTCTAACTTTATGCCCAAAAAATTTTGGGAAGATTAACTAGGTTGGGGTAATCCA